CGCGGCTCGCGGCCGCCGCCCCCTCCCCCGGCCCCGAGCGCCCCGACCTCGCGGCCTCGCGGGGGACGCGCGGACTACAGGTTCTTTGCTTCGGATTTGTAATTGTAACATGTGTTCGGAGGCTGGAAATGATGTCCCCAAACACAACAAAGCATTCAAATAGTTCTACCGCGGGGCTGCGGGATTACGCAAACTAAAGGTCCATTTCTCATTGGCTAGATGACATTATCCTAAGTATAGGCTTAAAACATTACTGATGACTTCAGATTCGCTTCGCCATTGCCACGGTAGGTAACAGGCACCGAGAAGTACTTAGTTCCCCGGAAGAAAAGTGCTCACAATAAGTTGTTCTTTGTTTTAGGTAAAGGAACATTTTCGTTTCTTGTTTGTTTTTTAGCAGCCTTGTTGAATATAAGTGATGAATTGCACGTAATTAAAATGCGCAGCAAGGTTAAGTTGTGACTGAAGTGGCTTTCTTTTGTTCTTAGCACAATAGGGCGTATAAATGAAAAGTAAAACCTGAGGAGCAGAAACTTGCCTTCTCATTTGAAGGTATCGTTGCTGAATTGTAGGTATTCATGATCGCAATAATGCCATCCCAGTGTTAGTGGCAATATTTAGACATAATAAATACAGTTACGTGACGTTCAAAGTTCTTATTTTGTGGAGGGAAATGCCAGCCTGAAATAGTTCTCTGATAGTTGCCTTGTAATTTTAAAACCAAATTTAGTCACTGGGAGTTTCATTTTTTATACCCTTTTAGCCACAGCGTGCACTCTAAACGTTAAAATGTCTTCTCAGCGCTCAGTTGCCTTCTGTTGTGTCCGCCAAGGCTGTGCAGAGCAAACAGTATTTCTTACATACAACTCAACAATCCTGTCATCCACAAAGATCTTGGAAATCCTCAAGTGACTGAGCAGTCTAATCGTACCCTATCCAAGGCAACAAGATGACCTTTTTCTTTTTAAAAACTTAGAACAACAAGTCAGATTTTAAAAATTGGCTATTTTTGTAATTCGGCTAAGGAATGCACACATCTACAATGAGTTTTCAAGGCCGGTTCTTTCAGCACAATGCACAATTGATCCCCTGCGGTCCACAGCCTCTGCAACCTGGAGTCCCAGGATCTGCTGATCTCTGTGCTGCTACCTGCAGTGGGGAACGGGAGAGATCGCACCCCAGCCTCGGCCTTCTGGAAGTTTAGGTCCATCCTAACCGCGTGGACAAACTAATAAAAATGACAGCATCTGACCAGATAACTCTGGAGCACTAAGGGGTGCTTTTAATAATCAAACCCACTGAGGGTTGTTTCCAAAGAAAATAAAAACTTCCCATCGTTTTTGAGTAAAATAGACTTTTCTCTAGTTTCAAAGAGCACTTACAAAAGGAGGTAATTCTTCCTTAAGAAAAAGCGATTCTAGGCAATCTAGTTGCTGATGGGAAAAAAAAAAAAAAAAAAAAAAACCAAAAATATGCAATAAATGAAAACAGACTGAAATGTAGACAATAACAAAATAGAAAAATAAAAAGCAAACCATTTAAAAAGTTATCTAGCACTGCCAACAGAATTTCTCCTCTAGGGGCCAGGTAGATGGCTCAGTGGAATAAGCACTTCCCTGGCAAGCTCAAGGGTTCTGAGTTCAATCCCCGGTTCTGCAAAAAAAGAATTTCTCCTCTAACGTGACCCCTGCATGTATAAATAATACATGAAATAGTATATTCTATGTATGTGTGTATGTGCTTCCTGAAAACGCGCATGCTCCCTGCGCACTCAGACATCATTTATTGTTTGCATGTTTTCTAATGGAAGCAGTAAGGTCTGCTTACTCTAAAGACTTGGAATAAGAGCTGAGGGTGGTGGTACACATGTGCCAGGCCAGCCCTGTCTCAACTGAGCGAGGCCCTATCTCAAAAAAATTAGAAAAGGCTAGGGTTGGAGCTCACTGCAAAGGCCTTGCCTTGGATTCCCAATACTGGAGCAAACATCAAATACAAGTATATAAATAAAAAATGAAATTATCCGCTCTAGCCTTAGCCACAGTGTAGCCACTTGTCCCAGTTTAGCTGTTTTCTTCATTCCTTTGCAGCAAGCACAGGCACAATGGATATAGCCTTTTCTTTTAAAAAAGAAATATAGAGCCGGGGAGATGGCTCAGTAGGATAAGTGCTTGACTGGCAAACACAAGGATCTGAGTTCAATCCCCGGTTCCGCAAAAAAAAAGAGAAAAAAGAAATATAGCTGTGCGGGCCCCGCCCCTGGGGCATGTTGAGACAGAAATTGAGCCTGGGCGTGGTGGCACATTCCTGTAATCCCAGAATTTGGGAGGCTGAAAACAGGAAGATCACTATGAGTCCTATCTACGCAGTGAGACCCTGTAGACCCTGTCCTAAATTTTAAAAAAAAAGGAATATATATGGATACTTCGCATATATATAAAATATAGAAATATATATTTTTCTTAGGTTTGAGACAGGGTCTTGCTATAGAGTTCAGTGTAAATACTGCACTTGGCCCCTAGAGCTTCTTAAGTAGTTCAGGCTGCCCTTGAACTCACTTTGTAGTTTAGACTGGCCTTGCATGCCAAGGATCCTCCTGCCTCAATCTCCCGAGTGCTGGGATTGTTGGCGTGCAGCACCATGTCCAGCCATAACTTGCTTTTTAAACTCAAGGGGTATCTTGGGCATCCTGTCATGCTTACAATTTTCCGTATTGAACAGACTTAGAGCTATATAATTGAAAGCATTTGAGCCAGGGAGATGGCGCAGCAGAGTAAGCGCTTCCCTGTCAAGCACAAGGGCCTGCATTCAATCCCTGGTTCTGCCAATAAATAAATAATTGAAAGCATTTGTTGACTAGAAAACCCAAACTAAAAAATACTTCCAACACACAATTTCATAATAAATAAAGTTTCCTGAGGTCCCTGGTGCAGGCGCAAGCGCACAGAGCTCTACAGCTGGGGCAAGCTGAGCCGTGAAAGCAGCTATTGCTGTGCAGGGTGACACAAGTCGTGATAGCAGACAGGAGATGGGGTGGGCACGGGCACCGTCCCAGGAGAGCTGACAGTTGGCAAGTTTCAGAGGTAAATAAAGCTGGGCATGGTGGCACACGCCTGTAATCCCAGCACTCAAAAGGCTGAGGCAAGAATATCGTTGAGTTCCGAGTGCACCAGAGGCTACCAACTGAGCTCAAGGCCAGCCTGCACTGCCTAGCGAGACCCAGTCTCAAGAAGACCAAGAAAAAAAACATAATAAGAACAGCAAAAATAAGTAATAAATGCGGGGCAGGCAAGTTACAAAATGCTGTACATAGTATTCTAGTACTACCTTAGTTTTTTTAAAATCAGAGAAGAAAGGTACATGTGTATAAATAGGTGTTCTCTCGAATGCACATGTAGAGTCACTGGAAGAATTTACAAAACAAAAAAACCTAGTAACAATAACTTCTAGGGGCCTGGGAGATGGCTCGGTGGAAGAAGCACTTCCCTGGAAAGCTCAAGGGCCTGAGTTCAATCCCCGGTTCTGCAAAATAAATAAATAAATAAATAAATAAATAAATAAATAAATAAATAAATAACCTGGGGGGCTGGAAAGATAGCTCAGTAGAATAAGTGCTTGCCTGACAAGCGCAACTACCTGAGTGCAATTCCCGGTTTAAAAAAAAAAAAAAAAAAAAAACTTCTGGGCCAGGCAACCTATAGACAGTATAATAAGAAATTTGGGGTACAGATTCTCTTGTTTTTTAGATAGAGTCTCATTTTGTAGTCCAGGCTGGCCTCAAACTCCCAGCAATCCTCCTAATTTCATCCAATGTGCTGGGATTACAGATGCACACCACCACACCCTGCTAAAATTAAATTTGTTCTTAAATCTTGGGTCATGCATGGTGGTGCACACTGTTAATCTAGCACTCAGGAGGCTGAGGCAGGATTGCTGTGAGTTTGAGACCAGCCTGGGCTACAAAATGAGCTCAAGGCCAGACTGAGCTGCATAGCAAAACCTTGTCTCAAGAAACAATTTTTTTCATATATCTTTCCACATTTTATTGACATAGAATTGAGATAGACTTCTATTGGGATAGAACAATTTAGTTTATTTATTTATTTTTGAGACAGGATCTATGTAGTTCAAGTTGGCCTTGAATTCACCATGTGGCCTCAAATTTGCAGCGAGTCATCCTGCCTTAGCCTACCCAATGCTGGGATTAGCTGGAGAGATAGCATAGCGGTTTACATGTTGGGCTTTATAGTGCAACTTCGCAGGTTCGAGCCCCCAATGCTGGGATTATATTTGGAGCACTCATCTGGCAATTTCCTCGAGATCTGGACTTCTATCAACTTGATCCAGAGAGAGCCAAGAGAATTCACAATTTACATATTTTCGGTAACAGCAAAAATCTGAACTGGAGACAGTGTATTTATTTACAGTCTTTTTTTGATTTTTTTTTTTTTTTTTTTTTTTGGTGGAACCGGGGATTGAACTCAGGCCCTTGCGCTTGCCAGGGAAGCGCTTAATCCACTGAGCCATCTCCCTGG